TGACACTTTGCTGCCTCAGCAAATCTGATGCGATCTGAAGTGAATCAGGAAGACTGACGTTTCACATGTGGTTCAAATAACGACTTACGGTTAAAAAATGGAGGCGAAAACACAAAAAGTGAAGCTTCTCCTGCTGCTAAAGCAGACACGTTAGCCCTGGAGAACGGGCTCTGGTTAGGAACAAAGACACAGAGCAACCAGAGCTAGTGTGGGCCGTTGACATCATCCCGACACATTTTGTGTGCAGCATTACAACACAAACCTGCTCAACGATCCAAGAGACACATGCGGAGCATGGACTGAGTGTTGAGTTGACGATGACATGGCGCTATTAGTCAGCAAGACAGACGCAATGTCAAAAACATCAGACCGCTATTCATCATCCATCATGACATGGCGGTTGTCAGGTTTTTGTTTCGTTCTTTGGCACATGACAGTCAAAGACACTTAGACTGTGACACTTGAACAATCAGCTTCCAACAATCTTCCCGAAAAAATGTGTTTCTCATTAGAAATGTTAAGATTATCTCTGTGTATGTGTGCGAGTGTGTGTGTGTGGTGTTAATCCAAAGATGATTGCAAAGTAGGTAAACGATGGATAGAGTTTTTTCCTGCAGCGATTTGCTTTTGAACTCCACAGAAAAAGGAAGATGAAAGTATAATGGGAGTCGAAAAGCACCTTTAATTGCTGCGCTGCTTCTCAGACCCAGCTGGATCCAACTGTTTCGACCTTATTCAGCGAAAGAACTCTTTGCCTCCATTAAAAGGCTAAAAATGAAACTCATTTCACAGTTATCCTGTCTTTTTTTTAAGCTGCTGGAAAGAATAGGCATGATCATTGCTCATTATTATTTTTTGTGCAAGTCACATCTTGGACTAAAAAGGCAGAACAGGAGCGTGCCCAACTTCCTCCACCACACGGGCACAAAATGATGAGGCTCCATGCTTTTCAAAAGGCAAAACAAACGCCGACGACTAACGGATAATAGCCTCACAGACCTGAACCACCTGCTTACTGAGAGCCTCAATGATGTCCATACCCCCCAAGAAGGCCTGTTCAATTTGTTTAACTGGTAAACTGAGACATAAAAATAGAAAACCTTGCAAAACTACTTTAAGAATAAGAAGTGAAGGGCCTCATTTGTTCGGCAAGGAAATTAAGTTTTTTCATGCTTTTTCTTTCTGCTGAGTAAAAATGTCGTTGCCACCATTCAAAGCTAATCTAATTTTTATATTTAACAGATATTTCTCATTATGTTAGATTAAACATAGTATTAATTGAATTTTAGATGTAGTCATTTAATTACAGATGGTCACACAGTGAGACAGGAAGGGACATTGTTAGCTACAGCAAAGGCTCCTGGCAAAAGAGCTGTACAAGATCCAGAGATTTAGCAATTAAGCAAGGATTTATGGGCCATTTAGGGCGGTTCAGGCACATTGGAATTGCTGTTCTTATCAAATACAGTTAGACAAGAGGACATAGTGCAGCGCTTAGCAGCTTAAGAGTTAGACATTTCCCTCTGGAGTAAGTGGAGAAAAACTAAGAGCTAAAAGGAATAAGAATATCACACCTTCAAGAGCTCAGGCAGTATGCAGATCCCCAAGCTTTTAGCACACTTTACTGTGCTTATTTCTAAAGTTTTGTACAACGGTCCACAGTCAATAACTTGTTAAACTACAGAAAAGTCTCATTTTGGCATTGAGTCCCTTTGGGTGGCTTTCAAGATATAATCAGAATTTCCAGGCTAAATGTACTGTAGTAATTTACAAAGATGATTCTAAAACCAGGAGATGTTTTCAATCAGTTTCCCAATTATGCCGTTATTGTCCTGGATAAGGCTATCTTGTACACACCTTAACCATCAAGGAATGGGTATCACTAGATTATACAGTGGGATGCTACATATCAGATATAATGCTACATATTAGCCTGATTTAGTATCTATAAACACTACAGCGTGTCTAAATCTGTTTTCCCACTACACCATCTCACCTTCGACAACAAAACAGTAACTACTCCTGAAATCAACAAAGAGCAATTTGGACCCATTGGGATTTTTAGGTTAAAAAGATTTTTGAGTTTTTGTTTATCTTAGCCTTTGTGTTGACATGTCATCTTCCATCTGGAATACATCGTATGCATGTGTTCCCAGGGTTAAAAACAGGGAAACAGGGCCTTTAACAAATGTTCTACTTTGTAGAATAACATACTTTAGACTACTGTTGAATCTGATTCTACAGCAGACAGCAACAAACGGTCTGATAGAGCTAACTGAGCAGACATGTAAATGATACGTGTGTTTCCATCACAGCTCACATTACAGGATCTTTGATGTCTGTCTTTGCATTTATCAGCAAATCAAGCAGACAATTAAAGAAGTTCATACTTGTGCAAGTGTCGATTCTGAGATAATCAACTCCAGATATTAGCTGCTACAGTGAGACACCATTTGGTATTGGCCATATGCAAATGTACACGTTCCCTCTATTGCAATAGTAAATCACACCCACGCAGAACAGGAGAGAGTCCTGCACGACAAGTGGGGAGCGAGCCTATCATTTCAGGAATCTCTTCCACTATGAACGCTGGCTTCAAATACAGCTGTTTAATTGCTGTGTCATGACAGGATAATTACTGCTGCCTATACAACTGTTCAATGGGATTAGCAAGGCTGCAGACATCCAGCACTTTTTGTGGATTTGCATGGTTCTGCGGGGAGTTGTGTTGACAGAAAAATGATGGTAAAGTAAAATGAGCGCGGGCACCCATGCAGGTGGTGCATTCAAAGATGGAGAGAGGTTTGATTGACACTTATTCATTAGTACTAATGCAGGCCATGCATGCAGGCAATATGTTTCGCAAAAGGTTCAATCCAGGCCTGATGCGATGGCTTTCAGATCAAGACCCTCCCGTGAACCTGGAAGAGTGCAGCTTTTGTGTGGAAATAATAGTTTGGAGAGAATCATACCAAGCCAATGCAATTTTTTTGTTTGTGTTGTTAATGGAGATGCTGGTGCAATTGTCACAAGACTTTACAGCAATCTTCTGCCACATGAATTAATGCAGTGTGCAGAACTTGAATTTTAAATGCAGCGCTGACATTCTGCATGAGCGTACATTAACACCAACTGCTCCAACACAGATGACACAAATAATCAGAAAGGTTGCGGCTCAGATGGAAAGACGCAAAAAAAAAAAAGATTAAGAAATCATAAAGGTAATTTTCAGTGTGATTCACACGCACTGAAGAAATGACCTGGCTGTGAAACTCCTCCCAAAGCTGGATGCATTTCAGGTGCTAAAAAGGCTCTGGTGATGATCTTTACAGTGAGGTCTTTGTAAAAATCACAAAATTCTTATTCAAGATTCTCATCAAGATCATTTGACCATTTTCCTTTTTCCAGCCAGTGGTGTATTAAGCTTGTGTAATCCAGATATGTAAGTCCAACAAGTGTTGCCTTCATTTGATTTTCTCTTTTTTTAGTGGAACCTTCTCGACTCTGCTTTAAGGAAATAAGAACAAACATTAATTGTATTTTTTTGTTATCATGGCTAACCCTTTTTTCCACATTAAATGGAACTTGTTTACAAAGCACAGGTGCAAGTTTCAAATGGGATTTCAGAATTTAGTTTCTGAATTGAATGCAAGGTACTGATCTTTATATTTATTACTGGTGGTGCTTTGTATGTGAGGAAAAAAGTGGATCAGTTTGGGCAAAATCAGTTCAGTGACCTCTGATAATGAGCTCTGCCCCTTTGAAACGGCCCTGACCTGCTTTCATAAATAACAAGCCAGTTGCTATTGTGAGGTTTATTGTAAAGAGAAAAAAACTAACTTGCCATGTAGGTAGGATTTATCACCACAGGGGTGCTGAAAATGATGCTGGAGACAAACAGCTTTTGAGTCCAGATAAATGGTCTTGATTAGAATACAATACAACTCATCAGGAAACAGGAGTCTTCAAATCCAACAGTTGGTTACGCTGATTGTAGCTGTAGCAGGTACCCATCACCTGTCAGGATGCTAATTTCTCTAGATGCATTCGCCATAAACTAAAGTATACACAATATTACACACACACACATATATATGTAAATGACTCAACATTATGTTAAAAACAATTAAAGGATAAAATGTGTCTTTCACTCTTGTGTAAAGTCGAAAGCTGATTTTAGTGAAACTCCTCCAAAAGAGGACAATATTATATTATTCTAAGATATTTTTCTGATAGGAAAGCGACAAAACAGCATCTCTCTCTCTCTCACTTCTGGTTCTGTGCTGATTTGAAAGAACAAGGAAAAGAAATACGCCACAACATAGCAGCACCATCTAGCGGATGAATTATGCACTGACAAAACAAGTCATATTTCTAACTTAAACCCAAGGAAAGAGCCTGCTGGTGGCAATAGTCTTTGCAAAATGATTTGATTCAATTTTTTAATTCAGTCTCCCCAGCATTGATGTTTTAGAAGTTATTTGTTCCTCCGATGATCCAGTGATTGAGTGCCTTTGAATAGCTTGCTGCAACTTGTCTTAAATCCTGTTGAAGCAGTGAGATTGTCCTTAGTTGTTTTTTTTGCACACTTTTTTTTTTTTTGCATTTTTGCTTAATTTCTATTTCTTTATGTTGCCACATTTGTATGCAACTCTAAGACCAAGAAAAAAAAAACAGATTTTCACACGATGATGCAGGCCATGTTTACAAAAATGCAAAAAGCTATCTTAGATATTTCTAAAGTGTGAATCCTGACAGAAATGCTGAATATACAATAGCATTAATAACAATAACAATACTACTACTACTGTGACTACTACTACTACTACTAATAAAAATAATATCAAAAATAATAATTATAATAATAATAAACAAATGGAGTAAAAAGTAAACTTTTTTTTAAGCCAATGAAATAAGAAACACTTACAGTAAGTCTAAGGGAAAACCTATTTTGTCTGTGTAAGCTGCTTATTTAACCCGCATCGACTACATTACCCGGCATGCCCTGCTTCGAGAAGCTGATTGGCTGCTCAGTCCCCGCCCCGGCCATATGGCCCCGGTGCTCGGGTTATCCGTCATGTGTGCCACCGGCCGCCCGCAGAGAGGCCCACGCGCACACACACACACACATCATGGCGGCCCGGACCAGCGCGTGCTACCGGTGGCTCACCGGACGCAGCACACCGGTCACTTACCGGAGAGTCCTCCCGCGGTGCGGGACCGGGAGCGGTCAGCGGACATATTCCGGCGCCACACACCAGGAAAACGAACTCGGACTCGGAGACTCCGCTTTCGCCGCTCCCGACTTCGCAGCATCTCTGAAAAGCAGACCGAGACAGGTGAGCCTGACCCCCCCACCACATCTGTGCCACATCTGGATGTGGATTTATCCAGTTTTCGGTTTTGAAATCTAGCTAACAGCTGGAGTCCCAAGCTAATTTCCCCTGCAATCTCCAGGAGGATGAGAAGTTGTGACAAGTTTGTTAAGGAGTTTGAATCCGGTTTATGGCCCGATGGAGGGTAAATGAGGCAATCCCGGGGATTAGTTATTAACCAGCGGTGTAATGACCATGACAGTGCTGCTGTACAGTCCTGGAACTGTGTGTCCTCTTTGTGTTATGCCGCCTGTGCTGTTATGCCATAAAAAAACAAATCTGGGAGTTCTGGGAATAGTTTAGGAATATTCCCAAGATTGAGTCAGAGGACGAGATCTTTTAAGCAGCTCTAAACTTGATTTGTTTGTTAGGACGTTATGTAAGTGGGTAGCAAATAATACACATTTGCAGCCCCTTGCATAACAGATCATGATACTGTTGGGCTCAGGAAAAAAAAAAGGCCCTCCTCTATTAACTCAAATTAATGAGAGCAACATGACCACAGTGGCAGGATGACAACTGATTAATTGGGTTTTTTGCCTTCCAGGAACACGAGTTATTCCAATTACAAAAACTTCCTTCAAGTACAAAATGTTCTTTTCATGCAACCACAGTAAAAATGTTAAAAATATAAATATATATGGACAGATTAGGGTTTGAGCAAAGAGATATGGATATTTCACATGGAATAAAGCGGCCTGTGGTTTCTGTTGCTGTGTCATATCTACTGTAACGTCACATGGTGGTGGGGGGGGGGGGGGGGGGCAGCAAAGGTCATGGGGCCTTTCCCAAAAAGCTCCTCGTGCTTCGGCGTGCAGAGGAAATGACGGCTTCGTCCTTTTCTCTCTGTGTTCTGTTTCCAGGGGAGGCTGAGGGCCGACGGCGTCCTTCCGTTTTCGGCGTTTCTGACCGACGGCTTCGGCCGAAAGCACAGCTACCTGCGCATGTCGCTCACCGAGAAGTGCAACCTGCGCTGTGAGTAGAAAAAAACATCTCATATTCCCTCTCCTTCTTTGCCAGTATCAAGGTTAGCTGTGCATAAAATGTGTTTTCAGGTCTTTTTCTTAAGCAAATTGTCAATTTAGCTAGTCAAAATCTTGTATTTTTTTTAAATACTCCTTCCTTTTTCCTTATTCCTCATTGTTTTCCTCTACTTTCCCTCATGGCCTCCTAATTTCTTCGCCTTACTCTATCCAGCCGCACTTTGAAGGGGAACTGGTGTCTGAATGCAGAAATTGTGCCGCATAAAACCAAATGAAGGCGCCCTGCATCCTGCATCACGCTGCTTTTTCTGGCCCTTTTCACGATGATTTAATCAAGCCAGCATTTTGCCTCTCATTAGAAGTCATGTTTTCGGCCACGTTTTTTTACTCCGTTAATGGAGGCTGATGGCTTTCGGGGGATTTTTTTCTTACTTGAGATGTTTTTCCCTGCCTGTTTTACAAAGATTTTTAAGTTTAAATGTGGAAAAGCTCTCAAAGTCCTTGTCCTCTCAGCCCAGCGTTTAAATTGTGCAAAATTTTTGACACACAAACGAACCTTAATCCTAATAAACCCCTGAATCTAGAAGGATGTACACATTTCTGCTGTTTTTTTTCGGTTTTTGACCATTAGAAGCAGGTCTGTGTGAGCTCCTGTGTGGGCTGAGGGTTGCTGGTTCGATGACCGATCCTCTCCTTTTTCCAGGCCAGTACTGCATGCCGGAGGAGGGGGTGAAGCTCACGCCCCGGGGGCAGCTGCTGTCCACCTCAGAGGTGCTGACCCTGGCTCGCCTCTTCGTCCGAGAGGGGGTGGACAAAATCCGCCTCACCGGGGGGGAGCCCCTCATCAGACCTGACGTGCTGGACATCATCAGTAAGGAAACAGAATAGTGGAAAAATGACCTCTCAAACATAATGATAACAATCAGTGCACATGTGTGTGTTTAGTCCCCAAAATCTTTTGATTTCTATTGAACTGTATCTGATTGGATATGGTGAGATTGCTGACTGGAACCTGGTGTAGGAAAAAGGTTTTCCCCGCACTCACGTGATGACCACGTCTGCGTGGAAGCTAAAGCCATCCGTTCCACCGCGGCTGCGCGCTCGGTTTAAGGGCCATTATCTCGTCGTTGGGATTTTACGGCCTGATCTGTGGATAAAGCGTCGCCTAAGATCTGAGAACCGGAGCGGGAAACGCACGCGTGACGCGAGGGAGGAGGCCGGAGAGGCGTGACCAATGGGGCGTGACCAGAGGAGCCCACGGGCTGCCTGGACACGCATGAACAGCCGCCATTACACGCCGTCATGTGACAGCCTGGGACGCCCGGGAAGTCACATGGAGTTTACCGGAGCAAATGATCACCATTAAGAGGATATTATTTCTGTCTTTTTTTTTTTTCCCTGTGTAAAGTAGCCATTCTGCGCGGTCACATGTCCGGCTAAGGGGGGCCAAACTACATCTGCAAATAGTTTTATCTCTGACGCGTTAAGTCCGATCAGCTAAATGCATTTTGAAAGCCTGATTTGGTTTTACAAGCGCAACAATCCGTTTTTTTTGTGTTTATCAATCTTTTATCTAAACCTGCTCACACGCTCACTGCTGCGCTAGCTCGCAATTTCTGCCTCATTTTTCTCCCATTTCTCACAAGCACATTGACATTACTGAGATATCACCAGAGGCCTCAATTCCCAACTTTCCATCTGCCAGCTGGAAGTCAGCTAGAGGTGTAACGTTTAAAAAAACCTGTAGGTTCAACCTTTTGTGGCCAACCATCCCTGTTTAAGCATTAAATATTTAGAACAATGAGTAATGGAAATGAAACTCTAATCTTTCCGTCTTTCTTTGTGGGAAGGATTAGAGTTCAGGGGGCAGAAGCCCTCAGTCAGTCTCCATCTCTGTGCCTCACCATCTCCCTCCTGCCCCCCCCCAGCTGAACTGCGGAAGTTGGAGGGCCTGAAAACGATCGCGGCGACCACCAACGGCATGAACCTGGCCAAGCTTTTGCCCCAGCTGAGGGAGGCCGGCCTGGACCTGATCAACATCAGCCTGGACTCGCTGGTCCCGGCCAAATTCGAGTTCATCGTCCGGCGGAAAGGTACCGGAAACCGGACCCAGGAACTGCTGGCCGGTCCCTGCAAGTTCCAGAGAGCGGCCCTAAGCCCCGACAGGCAGGGTGGAGCTCTGGGTGGTTGGCCCGTAGAAGGCAGGCACAGATGGACTGACTGAGATTAGGAAACTGAAAAAAAAAAAGTCTGGCACGAGGACCCGGTGTGGTCAGAGTAGTCTGTGTTTGTGTTTGTGCTTCAGCGTGAAGGTATTTGACCCTTAAGGTACCACAAGTGTTGGATTTAAACTGAACCGTGTTTGGACGTTTGTGCTCAAACTAAGGTTTGACTGGGCATGATTAAGATGGGAAATGATAGGATTAAAGTGTAAACTGCTCAGTTGGGATCGCTAACAGAGGTTTAACATTTTATCTTCTCCCTCGCAGGTTTCCACAAAGTCATGGAGGGCATCGACAAGGCGGTGGAAATAGGCTATAATCCCGTCAAGGTGTGTTTTGTATCTCGCTAAATGTTTCTCACCAGTTGAGTTTTAATGTCCCCCCTAGGCATTATGCATTATTATACAATAGATCTCTTTTAAATGGTCTGATTAAAAAACCTAAACCCCAAAAGAACATAAGTGTTTTACTAAAAAGGCCTTAGCCTTCATTTTGCTCAGACTGGTTCTGCTGGAGTCAACCAGTGTGCACGTCTTATTTTCTCTCGGTTACACTGAATATGACCTTATTTGGGTTGAAATTATGAGGAAACGTGGTTCAGACAGCAGATTTGGATTTTGATTATGTTAATAGTCCAACTTTAACCTGGCAGCACGCTGATTCGTTAGAGAAACGGCCGCCTAAAGATAATAACCTCAATATCGGGGAGCAAAATGTCACAAGAAGCCACACAAAGTAAAACTTCCTCTGGGGAAATATCTGGCTTCCTCTTTGGGAGTTTGATGTTGAATTTACTGCCTCGCACGGTTGGATTTAGGCCCCTCCGGCTCTGGTTAATCAATTCAGTTGAACAGATTGTAGCAGGCTGCTTAAATGCCCCTTCTCCCCCCCCCCCCTTCTTCTTTTATGTCCCTGACACTGTAACTGTGGCATGACGTGCTTGTGAGGAGAAGGAGCCCACAGCTCGTAATGGGTGGCTCATTACTTGGTTTCTGCAGATCAATTGCGTTGTCATGCGAGGCCTGAATGAGGACGAGCTGCTGGACTTCGTGGCTCTGACGGAGACCAGGCCTCTGGACGTGCGCTTCATCGAGTACATGCCTTTTGACGGTGGGTGGTCGCTTCTATTCCGGTCCTACGGGCACACGGACGGAAAAAAGTCAAACCTCCGTTAAACGCCACTCGCTGAACTCCGCAGGCAACAAGTGGAATTTTAAGAAGATGGTGAGCTACCAGGAGATGCTGGACCGGATCAGGCAGCAGTGGCCGGACCTTCAGATGCTGGAAGCCGCACACGCAGACACGGCCAAGGTCAGGTTTTGGTTTTAAAGGAGCAGTTATAGTTCTGATGATCCCCAGGAATGAATCAGGAAGGCGCTAAAGTGGTGCTGTTCTATTGTCACCTAAAGAAAACCAGTTTTGACCGGTTTGACATCATCCAATCAGAGTTCTGCATAGAAAATGACTGATGAGTCCAAATAGGAAATCAGTAATGGTCGGATCATAAGAGAAATCTTTTTTTAATGCTCACTTTGAGCCAAATAGCTTAAGAGAATACGTTTTTACCCTCCTCCCTGTTGTGTGACAGGCGTTTAAAGTGCCAGGATTCAAAGGCCAGCTGGGCTTCATCACCTCCATGTCCGAGCACTTCTGCGGCTCCTGCAACCGTTTGCGCATCACCGCCGATGGAAACCTGAAGGTAACGCTTTAACCCCTTTTTTTCAATTTGGATTATTTGTGGTGGCGTGTTATGAACCCCCTTTGCCTGCTCCGGTCTTTTTCTCAGGTCTGTCTGTTCGGGAACTCGGAGGTCTCCCTCAGAGACGTTCTGCGCTCCGGGGCGTCTGACGAGGAGCTGCTTCAGGTTATCGGAGCTGCTGTGGGCAGAAAGAAGAAACAACACGCAGGCACGCCTCAGGATCCACTCAGACCGCTGCGTGAGCAAAGCTTCGACCTAATAAAATCTTCTTTTTTTTTTTTCTCCCCCTCACCAGGTATGTTCAGTATCTCTCAGATGAAGAACAGGCCTATGATCCTGATTGGTGGGTGATTCTGCTGTACGTACAAACCTCCCGCACACATGTCTGTCTCACCTACGTAGACGTGAATGGTTGTCCATATCGACTAGCGGCTAAATTGACACATTTTGCTAAATGGGAACATTTCAAATATTCAAGCCAAAGTAGCCGGAGAAATTCAGCCTTTGTTCTCCACCTGAGAAATGACAGCTTTCCCCCCCCCCGTCTGCAGCTCCTCCCCCATCAGGCAGCGGGAGAGGCCCCATTGGACGGGACTCTCGGTGCCTCCCGGACCACAATTCCCATCAGGCAGCTGCTGCTTGCTGCCGTAGAGCTTCGAGGAACTGTGGCTCTCAAATCAAGACGCATATTAACACCACAACCCGCACAGACGAAGCCCCCCCCCGCTCCCCGGAGTTCGGTCTTCCTCCATTCACCCTTTTTGGCCGCACGGCCGCAGACTTTGAGACGCACACGAGCGATACGAGCCTCAGGTACGCACAGACCAGGGGTCCTATTGGTCCCAGGGGCGCCCCCCCGGCCCCCCCCCCCGTCCGCACGCTACTAACGAAGAACACAACGAACGTCGCGCACCTCAGCGTCAGACCGGCGCACAGCGGGAGCCACGACGGGGACGCCGAGGCCCGGCTGACGCACACGGACGCGGAGGGGCGGGCCTCCATGGTGGACGTGGGGGGGAAGGCCCCCACGGCCCGCGCCGCCACGGCAACCGCCACGGTCCTCCTGGGCGCCGCCGCCTTCCGCCTGCTGCGGGACAACCGGCTGGCCAAGGGCGACGCCCTGGCGGCGGCGCGGCTGGCCGGCGTCATGGCCGCCAAGCAGACGGCGGCCCTCATCCCGCTCTGCCACCCGCTGCCCCTGGACCACGCCGCCGTGGGCTTCCGGCTGGACGCCGCCGCCCACGCCGCCGTGGTCACGGCCACCTGCCGCACCACGGGCCGCACGGGCGTGGAGATGGAGGCGCTGACCGCCGCCTCGGTGGCGGCGCTCACCATCTACGACATGTGCAAGGCGGTGAGCCACGACATCGTCATCACAGACCTGAAGCTGCTCAGCAAGACGGGCGGGAAGAAGGACTTCCACCGCCACCCCCCCCCCACCCGGCAGAACTGAGTCCATGACGGGACTCCATCCAAACAAGTTTTCATGGCAGTTTTTGTAGTTTTCTAATAAAATAGAAAGCCAGGAGCCTCGACTGACACTTACCAGAAACAAGTATCTTAAATAATCTTTCATTTAGCGATTTCCAAAATGATGTTGGTGTCATTCCTAATCTTTGGCCTGTAGAGGGCACACAAGTATTACACACTGTGAACTCCACCGATGACTCGCATATGAACTTTGGACAAAAGCGTCTCCCCCAAGTGCTTCCATCCCATTTTTTGCCGACTAATGAAATGCATTTGTGTAACTGACACTAATAAGCTCTGATCATTGCGATTTAAAGTCACGTGTTCATTTCAGTTTCCTGTATATTTATGCTCTGACCCCAGATGACCCCTGACAGTGCTTGCATTTTGCTGCGTGTTGCTGCACTCCTGTTGCATCGGTCTCACTGTCCTCCAGCTTTGAATCGCCAGAGCATCCAGCACATCGTGAAAACGCTCATATTTTAGAAACGGCGAATGAAAACGCAAAGTCGCTGGAGCGTTGCGTAAAACTTATTTTTCATAAAAGAAACTTGAGATTTCTACAGATTCTGCTGTGATGTCTGGTGTTGGCTGGTTGTCCTGCAGCCCGAACACGCAGCTGGTTGCAGTGTGCTCACATAGACAAATGACAATAAACAGCATATTTTCCTCCCAATTCTGAATGCGTGTAAATGTTGGATAGCACTGGTTTGGTCAGTAGTGTGCTGACCTCTGAGTATAAGATGGCACCTGAGATGTTTCAATGTTCCTTCTTTGAGTGATACTAAAGCTCAAAAACTATATATTCATATATTAAAGTATTATTCTATTATAATAGTATTGTAGAGCATTAATTAATGGATCTGGTAAACAGCAGCCTTGTTACTGCTGAATGAAGTGGTTTGTTGTTCTTACATCTGACCGGTCAAAGGGAAACATCAGGATAAGGGGAAAGACTTCCTGTAGCGTCCCGCCTAATTTATGGTCTGACTCTTAGACTGATGGATCAAATCCTTTTAATTGGAACGGTCAGTGAAGGCATCATATGAACTCACCGTGAGAGCTAAAATAAATAAAAACATTTAAATACAATTAACTTCCAATGAACAGTCTTATAAACTTTACATACTGAAATTAGTATACAAATACAATTGTATCTGTTAATAAAATAAATAACGCGTTAGCTTAGAAAAATATAGATCGGTACGATGCTAACACTCGATACCGCAAACACACTTATTTAAAACAATCATAAAACCGGACACAATACAACACAAAAAACGATACAAACCTTGTGCCCTTTTAGCCAGCAGCTAGTACCTTTAAAGAACTTTTTAACACTTTTTAATATGTCGATCGTATTCACATTTCTTGACAACTCGGAAAACCCGGAAGTCCCGAGGTCTCACGAGAGCCCTTCAAAGTAAAACGCAAACATAAATGACAAAAAATAAAAACAAGAAATTAAATTATGTTATTACATTAAAGGATCAGAATAAACCGCCCCTCCTTGCAGGGTCGGTGAGAGGAGAGACAAAGAAAAACAGTCTATTCAGCATGAATAACAAACTCATTCAAACAAAAGTGTGCAGCCAGTACAGAATCAAAGCAATGCTCTGTTCTTGTCATTTTGCTCCTAATTGGCTTGATTTACCCCGAGCTGTTCTGAGGCTTGCACGGAAAGACCAGCGACCTGCAACCCCCTTCTTTGTCTCCCAAGTAGCTGAGAATATCCTTTTTCTTGAATCTATTTCAGTTTCATCCAAAAGAGGTAACTCAAACCTGCTGGTTTTTCGAGACGGGAGTAATCTTGGAACCCGTCCCCGATTTCTTGTTTCACGGCGGAGATCCCTTCTTCCTTCAGTTTGCCATGCACCACGAGTTTTAGAACCGCCCAGTCATTTGACGTAAGCGTGGCCAAGGCATGGACTGGTTGCAACTTGTCAGGCCCTTCATCCGATTGATACAGGCAGAGATCTCCAGTCCGATACTTGAACACATACGCCCATCTCGTCTCAGAAATATTAGCGTCGAGTCTGCTTCTTGCCCAGGCCATGTTGAACATGGTTTCCTCACTTTGGAAGCGTCTAAACAGCAAACTCTGAAAGGGCTTATAGACTATAAGGAGCAGGGAAAAACCAGCCCCTCCTCAAATCCTGACACACACACACAGGCACACGTACACACATACATACACATTGTTAGTTATCTTGTTTAGTTTACAGCCCCTGCGATAAGAAAAAACAGACATCCTCACAGGTAAAAATGCCCATCCTATAAATCAAGAAAAAACCTTTTATACCTAATCCTTTCCATGTTCTTCCAGTGACCTTTGACCCCCAGGGGTCATAAATCATAACCTTAAAGGATGGCATAAGGGTAATAAATCAGGCAATTGGTCACAAAGTCCAGTGAGACAGTTGCTGTTTATTGGCGTTGCCCAGAAATCATGTGGAAAAATTGTACAGATGGCTCCTCCTCCCTCTCTGCTTTATAGTCGCCTCCCTCGGAGGGCTCAACCTAATCTTCGGATATCACCTGAGCAAAAGAACACTTAATCCAGTTTGTGAAAAGGTTTGAATTCAACTAAACTTTTACTTCTTCTGATCTCCATTTAAGTGTGTAAAAACGGTGTTTTCTTCTACAGTGTCCAGTTTCTGGAAGTGAACGATGTGAGTATCTACTCTATTTACTCTTTAATGTTATTTTTCTATGAATAAAACAACACCTATGACAATTGAATGTTTTAGCTATGCTGTCTGAATCTGATTTGTTATATTTTGGTACAACTGTCTTAATATCTTATTGCTGAGTCGGGCAACAGTCCGTGCAAACTTTCAGGCCAAAAAACTAATAACTACTAGGCCAGTGATCTGGGACTTCTGTCGGCTCATGTTATCAAGACATCAGAATGATTAGGTCATCTTATTAGGGTTTAATTGTGATAGATATTTGTACCTATTGGCATGGCCAAACAAATGTGGTATATCTCAATGTCAGATACCACAGAGCTTTATCCAGGTCTGGCTTTCCCAGAGTTATTGAGATTACAAGCTCGGCGTACAAAAAGGAGACTGAGCGCTTTGGCTTGATATGGCTGCAACAAACGCACAGGTGGAAGTTCATTCTGGAACTTGCAAATGAACTTTGTAACAGGTTTATGCAAAAAAGGCAATACAGGAAGAAAACAGGAGGCAGCATTGTGAGATGAAGAGATGAAGAGCTTTTCCTTGTGTGACACAAATGTTACTCCAATACTAAAGCCATACTGTTTGTAATCTTTTAAGATGAAATTTTGAATGACATGGAAAGGCGAAACAAGACAAAATACAATTATTCTTTCTTTCACATAGTGAGCTTTGTAATATAAATTAGTCTGTTGGTGAATGGACAATAGAAATAGGCTCTGCCTTGCCTTGTTGGAAAATCATGGTTATGACCTTTTCTCAGCTCAAGACCTTGGACCTGTATGATATCTGGTTGTTCAATAGGTTTGCCTAAATAAAAATTTAGATATGACGTATCAATATATTCCTGCAGAAAGGTCGGATGTTGTAGGGGCAGGTTCTGATGCCAGTTTGTTTCAGCCTTTATCCAGTCTCATGTAGAAGGACTGGTCATTTCACAGGTTATTCGCATTACAATAGGGACAGTTAGCAAGGTAGAGTGAACACACAAACTTGAAGAGGGGAGGGGGCTTTGCAGGAAAACCCTAGTATAATCAAAGTTTTTGTCGGGCAGAGCATAATTTCTTCCTCTTCTGTTCAAGGGCCAGCAAGGAAGATCTTGTTGATCCAGAAGTTATAGAACAGTTTAAAAACCTGGTGAATGTCGACCCTGCTGGTGCAGCTGAGATGATCACAAACTATGTTGAAACGAAAACTAATGTTCCTCTACACATTGGAATCACAGGAGAATCTGGTGCTGGTAAATCCACATTTGTCAATGTCTTCAGAGGAATAGACAATACAGATGAGGGAGCAGCCCCAACTGGTTGTGTGGAAACCACCTTTGTAAAAACCCCCTATCCTCATCCACACTATCCCAACGTGGTCCTGTGGGATCTTCCTGGCATTGGGGCCTGTTTTTGTCCAGCTGATGAGTACCTGAGGAAAGTTGAATTTGAGATATTCGACTTCTTCATCATCATCTCGGATACGCGCTTCAGAGAACATGATGTGAAACTCGCCAAGGAGATTCAGAGGATGGGGAAGAAGTTCTACTTTGTTCGCTCAAAGATCGACAACGATCTGCGTGCCGAGGAGAGAAGTCAGAGGGACTTTGATCCACAGGCCACTTTGTCCAAAATCAGGCAAAACTGCATTCAAGGTAAATGTCCTGTTTCATTTTAAGGAAAAGGTTTTCCTTGGTATTTGTATTATTCCCAAGCAAAAGCAACATTCATGGACTAATTATCAAATAACCGAATCACTGCAAGTCTGAAATACACTAAAAGAAAATCTACACCGTGAACTACAGTTGTTTTTCTGAAATGTTTTGTATGTGATTGCTTTAAAGAGAAAAGTATGATGGCTAGGTATTCAAATTGTTTTTTTTACCACAAAGTAAGAGAAGCAAAAACTACCAAAATCTTCCAATGTTCAACTCACCTAACATATGCTTTATTTTTATGTCCAGTCAAACAACTGTATGTTTAAAAAATCAGCTCTTTTTCTAAATAATTAAAAATTTTAAATGCAAGAACCACATTGCAGAAAGGAAAGCTCAGAAGTGACAGGGGGTGAACAGATGGATGAGGGAATTAGAGAGTGAGTCAAACAGAATAACCACACTGTTGTCTTCCCTGCACAGGCCTAGTGAAACTGGGAATTGACTCTCCAAAGGTGTTCCTGATCTGCAACTTTGAGCTGCACCTGCATGATTTCTCTCTCCTACATGAGACTCTGGAACAGGAACTTCCTGACCACAAAAAGCAGGCTCTGCTTGCAGCCATGCCCAACGTCAACCTGAAGATCATCAACA